ATTGGATAGTAAACTAATGTTATTAAATAATAGTTTTAGTAGTGTTTTATCATCTCCTCTTTCTAATTCGTTTACTCTTATATCTCCTATTGATAAAACTGGTGATGGTAGAACTTACAGACCTTGGTATTGTAAACTTGGTACTAATAATGGTAATGTTAGTTCTTTTGGCTATTATTCATCTTCCGACATTTATACTTATTGGTATGATGTTTCCGATTATGATAATATTTTTGTTAATATATCTGACTTTGATAGTTCCTCTATTACCATTATTTATCAAAATGTTTTGCCTTATGATGTTTATGCTGAAACTTCCTATTACTTTAGTTCGGGTTATGCTTTGTGTTATAATGGTTCTTCTTATAGTACAATGTCTTTTGATACTTTTGATTATAAATATTTGGCTATCACTTATAATAAAAATATTCCTATTTCTTTGTATGGTTTAAGTGATGTTGATTTGCCTGATATACCAGATGTGCCTAGTGACCCTAGTGGGAATGACCCTAGTCAACCTAGTATAAATGTGACTTATCCACAAGAGGTTATAGATAGTGTTAAGGATATGAAAAAACAGTTAGTAACATTAACTGGAGTAACATTATTAAATTTGATAATTCCTATGTTTGTATCGGTATTTAAGAGAATGGTTGACCCATTTAAGAAAAGGAGAGATGACTAATGGTTGAACTTATTAATGAAATGTGTGAAGAACTTGGATTGGCAAGTGGTGTACTTGGTGCAAAAGAAATTATCTTTATACTTGTGCTTTTCTTGTCTATCTATGGTGTAGTTGCCTTTGTTGGAATGTGTATGGACTTTGGTCGTAAAATGATACGATACTAATTTTTAAGGGGCGCGAGCGTATTGCTCGCCCCTTAAACCTTATAAGGAGATAAATAATGAATGGTTTAATAAAAATAATATTGATATTTGCATTTATTGTGTGTTTTGTATTGTTCCCTTTCTTTAGATGTGTAGTGTGTCACCCATATAAAGATATTAGGTTTGGTGGCGAAGATTTAATTAACTATATAAGGCATAAAGGTTGGAGAAACTTTTATAAAGATGAAGGTCAACTGGTTGCCTACTGTGGTCTATTTGGTAAGGGTAAAACTTTAAGTGCAGTAAAACACTGTGTAGGATTGTACGATAGATACAATGGACTTAAAGTTTATGACAAGTTCCGTAAGAAATGGGTAACCCAGCAAGTTGTTATACTTTCAAACGTTCATGTTGCTAGACCCTATGTTGAATGTCGTTCATTAAAGCAGATAACTAACTTTACAAAGGATTTGCAATCTTATGATGATGAAAACGATACTATAACATTCTGTGTGTGCTTGCTTGATGAACTGAGCGTGCAGATGAATAGCCGAAACTTTAAGACTAATATAGACCCCTTGTTCCTTAACACTATTCTGACTTGTAGACATTATCACTTGAGTATATATTATACTGCTCAAAGATTTAATCAAGTTGACGCTTTGTTAAGGCAAGTAACCCAAACAATCTACCAGTGTAATAAAATATGGCGTCTGCAAGGCTTAAATGCTTATGACGCTTATGAACTGGAGAACTGTACTAACCCTACTCTTGTCAAGCCTATTGGCAGATATTGTCTATTTATCACTAATAAAGATTATAATAACTATAATACTATTGCTTGTGTTGAGAATTTAGAACACTCTATGGAGATTGGCGATATGTTGTCTGATAGTGAAATACTTGAAAAGATTGCCCCTTCTATGGTTGGTGCAGATACTGTTGTTAACTATTCTCGCAAAGCAAAAAAACGTATGCCACATAAAAAGAAATACTCTTAATCTCCTTTGAATTGCCCCCTACACAACGTAGAGGGCTTTCTTTTTGCCTAAATTCTTTCATAGTGTTGACGCCACAGGCGGTTTGGCGTAGCCGATAAAAACCCATAGCCTAACTACTTTCTAGTTGTGCGAGTATCTTCCCTGCATCATTAATATAAAATTGCTCCTTGACTACCTAACAATAACCTTTCGGTGTTCTCAATGGTACATTGTTTGGTAATAAAGAGGGGGGGGATACTACGACCCCCCCCTAATGTCAAAGTCAAAATTTTTGATTTATGTAAACCTAAAATTGCTGAAAGTGTGACATTTTATCTATAATTCCCAAATAATCGCATAAATCTATAAAATCTGTCAAGACAATTGTCTTGACATTAGACATCGTGTCCGTTAAAAATTATCCCAAAATTTGAGTTTCCAAAATTTTGGGTAATTTAGGACGATGTCCTTAAATATTTTCGTCAATATAGTTATATTCAAATCAATATAATTTTAGTATAATAAAAACATCAAAAGAAAGGAGATTACTTATGGAAATGATTGACAAATTTCTAGCTTGGTGGAACTCAACCCCAACAACAATTTATATTGATACTTATGGAGATTGGATAATCTTTTTTATTGTTGTATTGGCTGCTTGGACTGTTATTAATATTTTAATTCAGTGGTTGCTTGGTTAGAAAGGAGATAACCTAAATGGTGAATATGTTTGATTTATTTGTTATTATGCTTGGTACTGTTCTTGGTTCTGTATTGCTTATTATTTGGGATAAGGAGGATTGAAAAAAATGAGATATACTTATTATTCTTGGGTAAATGGAAAATACCTCACTTGTACTTTTGCAGAATTTAACAACGCTTTTCTTGATACGGAGCATTATTTTAGAGAATTCTATTGTGATGACGAGGGAAATACAATACTTAATCTTGTATCTAAATGTGACGGAAAAATTTATTATAAAAGGAAAGGGGTGTATATTGTATGTCCGAAAAATCTGTAAAGTATCAGTGTTCTGAAATTGCTGAAATGATGAGTATTTGCAATGTCAGAAATGATTGTAATCGTTCTTGTACTGGCTGTGACTATAATCATAAAGGGCGTAAGATTTGTAAAGATATGCTTAAACAGTATAATGAAATGTCTAGAGCACAGCAGATTAGTATTGTAGTAAAAAGTAAGAATTTGTAAAGGTGTTTAACTTTGAATAAAAAAATAGTCGGTGTGGGGGCTGTTATATATACAGATAACCCCTTAAGTATAGAAGTATTTAAGGAACGTATGATAAATAAATATAATTGTTGTATAAGCCCCCTACACGATAAAGATATAAAGGCTGACGGAACATCGAAAAAGCCCCACTATCATATTTTGTTTGTTGGTAAACTTCTAGAGCGTGATAAAAAGGACTTAAGTGTATATGTTGCAAATGGTTATTTTGAGTATTTGTATGATTTGCCTAGTGCATTTAACTATCTTTACCATTGGGATATAAAAAATAATGGTTGGTACAAAAATAAAGCACACTATTGTAGAGATTTTATAACTTATAGTGATAATTTTGATTTAGATAAAGTAGAGGAGATAAAAACATATGATTATTTCAATCAATTTTTTGATGATGTTGCTCAGTTTGATGAGTTTTATTTGTGGTTGGGTTATGTTAGGAACATCAACGATACAGTCTACAAACAATACTGTCTTGAAAACTATCGTATGGCTGACAATTATATTAGGTCTTTTAGGAATTGTGCTAAATTACAGCGAATGGATAAAGAGTCTGCCACTCGTGGTTTAGAATTGTCTGACGCTTGGTTAGATAATACCTATGTGCATTATGGTGACGGAACTGTAAAATGTGATTTAAGAACGCATTTTAGAAACTGTGGTATGTCGATTGATGAAGCAATTGACCAATTGAATGAACAATTTCCTGTGGAAATTGAAAAATAGTGTTGACATATATATCTATATAGTGATATATATATAATTGTAAATAATATTTAACTCGAAAGGAGATTTGAGTGTATGGAATTAATGATTGTTGGAAAGAAAAAGGTTAAGCGTGAGGACAAGAAAGATGTCAATATCGTTTATTTTGTTCATAAGGCAAAAGAGGATAGTGGCGTTGAAGGTTTAGTTGCTGAAAGTGGTTTCACTAATAATGCTACCTTTGATACTATCGTTGTAGATAGTAATAAAACAGTGGATATGGCAGTATTCTACGAAATGGGATACTGTAACATATACAACAAGAAAAGCGAATAACGCTTAGAAAGGAGAATTTATGTATAATATCTATGCTATCCTTGGTTCTGGTGCTTCTGCTGAAACTACATTTAACTATGTAAATGAAGATGTACTCGACCAGATTGGTACTGTTATCACTAAGATTTTATCTTGGTGCACAAGTAACAGTCTTTTAGCAATCTTCTTAACACTCTCAATGTTAGGAGTTGGCTTTGCTGTTATTTCATGGATTAAAGGTGTTATTCGTCTTAAGTAATACGCCCCTTCGCCACCCCTTAGGCGTAAGCCTAGGGGGTTTTTTCTAAAGGAGAAAATATATGAAAATGCTTTTATTAGCCCTTTCTTTAGTGGCTACGTTAAATCAGCCTATACTTTTGTTAAATAGTGGTTCTGACTATAACCCAACAAGTTTTTGGGATTTGGGCTATGACCTTAACTATATCATAGACCATTTCTTTACTGGCGTTGATAAGGGCTTAGATATTATAGATGACTTTGCAGATACTGTTTCGAAACTTGGCATTGATGATAGTCCTAATATTCAAGTTACCCCTTCTGTAAAGTACTATAATCAACCTAATACTTATACACAAAATTATACTGATTATTATGATTATAAGTCTTATACTAATAACTATGATAATAGGTCTTATTCTACTACCTATAACTATGATAATAGGACTTATACTTATAACCCCATATATAATGATTATCGTACATACGATTATACAACTTATAATAACTATAACTACTTTGAGGATAACGACTATTATTATATAACTAATAATAATATTACAAACTATGAGTATTATATTGTTAATAAGATTGACGTAAATGATAATAGATATTATTCGTACTATTTTGAACTTCCTAGTGGGTCTAAATCATACAATTTGACTAAAGACCAAGTACTTGGTGAATTTATGTCATATGACTGTTATCGTTATGAACAAAGCAGTGATAGTTCTGATGTTTTGGCATTATTTAAACTTAATGGTAATTATCAGAACGAAGTAGCAGACAGTGATATTAGTTTAGTTTATAACGGCAACTCTTTTGTAAATGGTAAATTTGACGGTGCTCTTAAATTAGATGGTTCTATTGATATGCAAATGATTGGCGATTTTCCCAATCAATATACTGTTGAATTTTGGTTTTATAATGCTATAAATAATGGTTCTTATACTGGCTCTGGTACTCCTTATGCTTGGCACCATTCTGCTTATACTTATGATAATGGTACTGTGCGTGTATGGTTTAATGGTGTTGAAAGTACTCGTGGTACTAGACCTTGCATTAATATTAATGTTCAAAACGTTGCTCCTAATGGCGTTTGGTGGTCTGATAATAGTACTGCAAATACTTGGATTGCTAATAATCCTTATCCTAATTTATCTTTGCCGTCTGTATTTGGCAATAAATTGCCAAGTACTACTGTTGGTGCTACTTCTTATACTTATAATGCCCCTTTTTCCCAGCTTCAACAGTTATTTAAAACTACAAGTGGTAGTACTACCCATTGGGGACAATATTTAAGTGACGGACATGATAATTTCAGTATTACTGGACTTAATCCTAATGACCCTTTGCATTATTATCCTCAATTCACACAAAGCCATATCGATTTTGGTTTTACTGGTTCTAATACTTCTGTTGGCAATTATACAGTTACTAATGGTTGGAATAAAAATACTGCTACTAGTGGCAATAATAGATATTATCGAATTTCAGAAAATCATACTGTTACTAATACTACTACAAACAATTATGTTGATATGTCCGATTCTCTTATGGACGAGATTAGAGTTACTAATGGGCTTTTATATACCGAAAGCACTTTTACCTATCCACAAGATGAATTCACTTATGGACATATTTGGGTAAGACCGGAAGGCGATGATTTTAATGTTGGTGATATTGCTGTTATGTCACCAGTTGAAATATCTGATTATCGTATTGGTGGTGCTGATTATTCTTATCCTAGTACTGGTAATGTATATATAGGTCTTTCTAGTAATATAGGTTTATATGCTAAAGTCTATAATGGTCAGAACTGGCTACCTTGTGATTTTGGTGTTTGGAATGGCTCTGAATGGGCTGACGGAGTAGGTTTTAATTTTTTGACCCTTTCTTGGGGTTCTAAAAATAATGATATTAATATTGATATCAATATTAGTACTGATGTTAATGTCTCAGAAACTGATAAAAAGGGTTTTACGGATATTATTGGCTTTATATTTGAACTGTTTGCATTTATTCCATTGTGCATAGGTTTCTTGACAATTATTCCTACTCCTATTAATATAATATTAATAGGACTAATGGGATTGCTTGCTGTGCTAATTGTACTTAAGATTGTAAAGAGGTGATGAAGATGTTTTCAGAATGTTGTGATTATTTAGGTAGTATAATTGAAAGTGCGTGGGATATATTTAAGAACGCTTCATTCAATTATGGTGATGTAACTATATCTTTTCATGGAGTGTTTGTATTCCTATTTGTACTTGCTATTGTTTGTGGCTTTATAGGAATTATATTGAAAGTGTGATTGTATGGCTGATACTTTTTCATTTGTAACTGATATGTTTAACGATATGTCCACTGTTCAAGCGTTATCTACACTACTGGATTGCATACCCAGTGGGCTTCAAACGTTTGCTATCGTGTTTGTGGTTGTATTGCTTTTGGCTGTCATAGTCAAAGTGATACTTAACGTATTATAAGGAGATTTTGTATGTATGAGATTATTGGCGTTTTCTGTGGTTTTGCTATGGTTGCTAGTACCCCTTGTTAACGATTTTGGCGTTGATACTGTGTCTGATAATGATTTTGTTCAAATAGAAACTTTTAAGGACTATGGTGGAGACATTGTTCCCTATGTAAGTGACCCTTACATAGAGGATAATGTTCCTAATGATGTAGTAGAGGAAATAACAGTCAATCAGACTGTTATAGATAATTCAGAAGTATTAGAAAGAATGGATAAATTGGATAGTAAACTAATGTTATTAAATAATAGTTTTAGTAGTGTTTTATCATCTCCTCTTTCTAATTCGTTTACTCTTATATCTCCTATTGATAAAACTGGTGATGGTAGAACTTACAGACCTTGGTATTGTAAACTTGGTACTAATAATGGTAATGTTAGTTCTTTTGGCTATTATTCATCTTCCGACATTTATACTTATTGGTATGATGTTTCCGATTATGATAATATTTTTGTTAATATATCTGACTTTGATAGTTCCTCTATTACCATTATTTATCAAAATGTTTTGCCTTATGATGTTTATGCTGAAACTTCCTATTACTTTAGTTCGGGT